ATGTCTTTTCAATAGCATCTTCAAATTGAGTTTAAAATGAGAGATAGAGTTCAAACTCAATTAATCCGACGAAAAGAGTACATCAAAAACAATTCATTTACTAAAGGTTAAACATTTCTGTACAAATCACTGACTGCTCGAGTTTTGTTTTCTCAAAGGCCAAATTTAGATTTTACGGACCCTTTAATTATTTAACCATTCTGAGTGGCGAGCGTTGAAATGTTAGGGTATATTGTAATACGCAGGTTGCAAAGGAAGGTGGAATTTAGAAGCTGATCTTAGTAAAAACGGATATGCTTTTTAGAAGAAGCCATGTTTCCAGGGATGTACCGGTTATGATCTTATCAGTAAGCACTTGAAACTACAAATCACAGCTGGCCCTATATATGAATTTTGTAATCAGACCAATAAGCATGATTATTGTTAGTGTTCATCACATCAACACCGTTATATATCATTGCTTAATACATCAGTGGATATTGAACATATTTAATATTCAAGGATCACTGATCAGCAACACTTTGAGCAAGCTTCTCTCAAAGTTGCCCACATAACTGTATAAATCACACAGTACTCATACCTATTGGTCGAGAGCCCGCCACAAAGAAGGAATGGACTTAAACCGCCTGTTTGAGACTGGCGGCATGTGAAAGTTAAACTCCAATGATATCTGGTCTCTTTTCACAAGCACGTGACCAAAATTAATCACATGCGTGTGAATCAGTGGACAGTATACCTATACCCATTAGTCGAAAGCCCGTCACATGGTTGCATGGTCTAAAACCGCCATTTAAACCCGGTAAGCGCTGTTTGAAATGGAATTTAGACTCCGTTGAAATCTGGTCTCTTTCAGTACGTGGCCTACCTCTGTCCTTAAGGTTCAGGCCAGTAAATAGGCCCGAAATTGCCTACGCCGGCCAAATCATGATTTGCATGCCCTCAATTTCTTCTGCTATCAGCGCATTTTGTGGGCCATAATTAAACCGGAAAGTCTGTAAAAAAGGGAAAAAAGGGTGAAAGATGCGATCGCTTTGTATGAACATTTCACCCAACGTCATCGTATAACTCCCCATATTGAACAGAACATGAAAGATGACAAAACAAGCTTTATTTTGAAAACCTCGGAGGATTGTGAGTATTTTAAGCTGAATTTGGGAAATAGGGGAAATAACAGTTTATATCACTATACATCTGTAAACGTATCTCAAGTCGATACATTTTGACAACGGAAATTGACACAAAATTTGATTGCACATCAAATTTAGTCACTTTCTGTTTTTTTTTTCTTGCCCCTTCCTTAATTTTGTTAATAAATATTTTAAATCCATCCTAATATATCCCATTTATGTGCTTGAGTTGCTCCAGTGAATACTTCCAAGTTACCCAACAGTTATGGGAGACAATGTACAGGGTTTATCGAAAAAAAACTAATCCAAAATAATGGGTTCATTTATGCAAAAGTCATGACCTTGAACACTGTCCAAGTTGTTCCATCTTAAAGAGTAGTTCATTTAGCTTTTCATTGATATCATATTTGCATCTCTTCAGTCATGGATGATTGAGCGCCATTGATTTCAAAACAAAGACAAAAAAAACACTGTTTTGCTGAATTTGCTGAACAAGTGGCGAGTTAAGCTGCCTGATGAACGCGCTGTTTCTGTTGACAGTCCGTAAATAGGGGTATACAGGGTGACCCCAAAAAATGCAACCCTAAATCATTTGCCTTTACAAAAAAAAGGGGGGGGGTCGCTGGATTTTTACGTTTTTGGTAGATCAGATTAAAGCTGCGAGTTTTTTCTTTCAAAAACTTAACAATCATATAAAAAAATAACACTTTGAGTCGCTGAGAAATGCCAATTATGTGAAAGTAGTAATTTTTCATCCTGTACACAAAACATTTCCATCACAGTAAGGGATTTTCACTGTATATTTGTGCATGCCCTAATCCTTACAAACTACATGGCATATGATATGACTTGAATACAAATGAAATTTATGGAAATACATTTTATTTTCCAGCTGTCTCATCCTATTTAGTGCTTTTTAAAACCCTTTCAGCATCATAAGGATGTAAAAATACTAAAGAGATCGCAAAAATGAAGGATAGTGTACAGGATAAAACATGACTACTTTTACATAATTGGCACTTTCTCAGCAACCCAAAGTGCTACTTTCATGATTTTTTCAGTATTTGAAAGAAAAAGCTCTCAGCTTTAATCAGATACCAAAACATTAAAATCCACCGATCCCTCTTTTGTTTAAAGTGCGCAGTTGCAGTGCATGATGTGTTGAATGGGAGGAGAAAGACATGTTGAAAGTGTTTGAGCATTAAATGGAATATCACTTTTCATGAAAAATCAATCAATTCAAAGATTGTTTGTTTACTCGTTACAAAAAACATGTACGACTTGGCATGGTTTTGATCTGCCTATTGCAAGCTATATGTTTTAGAGATTTTTGAAATGTCATTGTTAGTTTATGATAAAAACAAAATCTTAGGAAAGATTAATAGACTAATGCAGTGTATTTTTTTTTATTGCAAATCTTGGAAAATTTACCTTTGTATATCCCATTTAACCTTATTTTTGATTTTCGTTTTGCCATTTTAAAGGGTATTTGGGTGTTTTTGTTTTTATGCTAATACAAATTTACATATTTATGAGGGAAAGTGTGATGTCGTTTCAGGCAGAAAACCCAATGTTACAGCCGTTTCAGAACCGAAATGTGAGAATTGTGGACATAAAATGTTCTTTTCTTTGGTGATGCGTTGTTGTCTCACTACAATACAGTAAGCCAATGAGCAAACTTTTTTTTCATAAATGATTTTCAATGAGCAAATTTCTAGGTCACAATTTGAACAGAAAACCCTAAACTGAACAGTGTCTTCCTGAAAAATAATTTATGTTTTGCTGTTTTTTGTAATCTATAGACTTGTCTTTTGGAATTGCTCCCTGAGTTAAAGCACATCCACTTGGTCTAATAACATCAAATGAATGTACCGAATTGGGCTCGAGGACACAAGGGAAATGCTTTAATCCACGCACACGTACCGTACGCACTACATTTTGTTAGCTACTTCAGCTTTGGCTGCCATGACCTCCTGCGCCAGTTTGTGCACAGATGGCCAAAACATTCCAAACAGGAACCGCTATGGAAATGTAGAAACAAGTGTCGTGCGAGATCTCAAATATAATGGTTTCCTGTATCCGGGGATCGGTGTGCTGAGGCAGTTACAAAACAAACAAGTACCCTAGATTATTCGACGGGAATGACGTTCGATTTTGTGGAGGTTTTGAAATGATCGACGCCCCGATATAGTTAGGCCTCCTAATATGAATGAGGCTGAAGAAACAAACAAACAAAGTCGACTTACAAAGGCTGAGATTGTGTTGAATGTGTCTCATATCACCAAACATGCACACTTCTAGGTATGTTTTTGACAATTGTGAAATTACCATTGAGCCAGTGTATGTATACAAAAATGTAACATTCATTTTTTGTAAACCATACATTGTTTGGAAATAACATTATAATTATTAGCTGTCTCTTTTCTATGATAATAAACAGTAAAATCTGGAAAAAGGGGTTCGCTTGTTGACTTTGGTACTTACTTTATAGAATGCTCATATTTTGTTTGGGATGATTAAGACAGATGGAGCGCCGTTGAAACATAATAGTCACGGAATATATCGGCGGTGGAGCAACCTCGTTCTCATAACAGTACACCCCCCACTACCTGCTCTCTCAGGTATTGGAACATTGCCATCTTCAAAATTTCCTGTACACGTACGTTAATTTGGAATAGTCTGGTGCCTGGGTGTGCTTGAAATTAGCGGGTTTTTTTCTCAAAGTGAAAATGTTACAATGTTATCCAGCCAATATGCAGTATGACAATACATTGTAATCAAAGTCGAAAAGAGAGGTTGTTTTGAGGTGGATTGCATTGGACGCTCTAAATCGAAGAGAACTTCGAAATAAATTCACGATGTAAATCCATTACGTTACATTGTCAGGGGCAGATCCAGGAATTTTCGCAGGGGGGGGGGGGAGATTTCATCAGCAAACGAACCTGAAAAGTAAACAGGTTTTTTTTTCTCCGGACACGTGGCCTCCGAAAAAACATTTTCTTTTGGGGGGGGGGGATGCCAAGTTCGTAGCGTATTTGGAATTATAATTGTTGCAACTGCATTCTTGCTGAACCCGGATCCTTGGGCCGGTGTAGCGTGAATATCCGACTCCTTGAAATGTGGACTCATTGGTAGTACTGCGCACGCGTAAGTACGATACTATGCTATTTTTAGGATCGTAACGTTTCGGGAGAGTGACCTAGTCACGTGTGAGGGATCAGCCAATAACAGGGAAATAGGGGTCCAATTTTTATAGGAGTCGGCTTTTCATGTGACACCGGCTATCACTGCAGCACGATGCAAGCACGTCCGTTTTGTACTGCTGTTTGGGCTGTAGTAAGGCTGTGATACGCTGTAGTCTTGGCCCATGGAATGCATGTGTTGCACATACAGGACTGTGCTTTGTATACAAGTTTACATAGAACACACAAAATGGGTATATCAAGGGGTGCATAGAGCAGGCAAATAGTACAAACATTTACCGTATACCCTTGCAGGCCCTTGGTGACTGCATAAATCGACCAATAAAGAGATATTGATTAAGGCCAGAAATTCTGGATTAATTTATTCAGAAATGCCAATTGTTTAAGGAATTCCAGTATTTCAAAATCATAATTACCTACATAAGTACAGTTGTTAGTTCTTATTTTCATTGTCAATCTAGATTATGTGAACCTCATCGTCTGACGTCCAACTGCAACCACAAAGATGCAGGAAGACAGCCCTGGTCGGCGGGGTAGAGCTAGGATCACGGCCGAGGAGTACAACCACTCACTCAGCAAACTCGTCAGCACGAAGAGGAGGGTTAAGCCAAGTCGTAAGGCGGCATTCATGGCCGCCTTTCCAGTCAAAGCCTCCCCAAGACTCCAATCAGATGAAGAGGGAGCATCCATCCTGCCACTGAAAGAGGCTTCAGTGACTCATCCTAAGCACATCAAAACTGCGACAACAGAAGAAACAACCAGAGCTGAATTGAAAAGGTATAACAAGGGCAATCACTCTGGAAATCTCAATCGGTCGAAACTAATATCTCCTAAATCCTCATCATAGGCCTGTAGCAGAAAAAGGCCTGTACCAGAAAAAGGGGCACCTTTCGTCGTTGTGAAAGTGGGACCCCTTCGGCCTCTCAAATGGCGGGTTCACAAATTCACGTCACAGGTTTCGGGCCCGCTTAAGGGTCGGGGGAGGGGGTGGATTCTAGATGCTCTGTGCTGCGATCTGAGGCAATATCTGACCACTATAACCATTTTTTTAAGAAAAAAATGGTGGTGTACGTATTGGCTGCCTTTTTTGTGATCTCACTAAAAAAAGAAAACAATTGGGTTGTTTTTGTTTTTTTTGAAGGGGAGGCATGGACCCATTGTCCTACTCTCCCCCCCCCCCCTTGGATCCGCCCTTGGGCCTTCGGCACACCACACATCCTCCGCCCCCATAAGTAACCTCTCTGGACCCGCCAATGAATTTGACTAGTTAGGTGGAGAGACCATTTTTTATTTGCGAGAAGGGCACTGTGCTTTTGATGGCCAGCACAGGGACCATTTTATTCGCTTGGAGGAGGAGCACTGTTATTTTTAAAGGCCAGTTTTCCATGAGAGGGGCACCATTTTAATGTTGCGAGTGGGGCACTAATACAATTGTGCTGTCGAGGGGCAGTTTTACATCTCGAGAAGTTATCGCGAGAGGAGCACTATTGTTTGTGATGGCCAATTTTCCATCTCGATAGGGGCACAATTTTATTATCGCGAGAGGGGTATTTGTGCTTTCGAGGGTAGTTTTCCATCTCGAGAGAGTAAACAGTCTTGTTAATGCGAGAGGGGCACTTGCGTTTTTGAGGGGCAGTTTTTCATTGCAAGAGAGGAGACAATTGTATTTGTAGCGCAATCATATGCGTGTCTAAACACCGGCAATCGTGGACAAGGGACAAATGGTTAGGGTTCTAGCTAAGGGTTCACAATTGACCGAACGTCCATGATCTCAAATCGTGTTCCAAACCAATGAGAGTTGTTGCTAAAAAGTCGAGTACAAACAAAGGAATGAAGATTAGGGACAATGGGGCGTCCATGATTGTCATGATTTAGGGGCAGTTTTGTTTTCATCTCGAGGGTGCACATTTATAACCGCGAGAGGAGCACTTTTGCTGGCCTAAGAAAATGGGTGGGGGGGGGGGTGTTCCGCCGCCCCTGGCCTGTAGGTTAGACGTTTTCTCGTTTCTAGTATTTTCATCTTTATACATGTATACCATACACCAACTAAACATTCTAGGTCTGCGGTGTTCATGAGTTTATTATTGTTATTTTTTAAAATCGAATTCGCACCTTCATTAATGCATCATCTCATTTCACAAGTGGTTAAATCAGTTTAAGAAAGCTTTCCATTAACAGTTATATCTGAAAGAAATAGTACATATCAATCAAGGTGAATATCTGATATCATTTTCTTGTACAAAAAAAAATTGGAAGGAAGAATGTAATAGAAATGTAACAAAAGTTAGCTCAATTTAAAAAAAAAATGTCTTGTCAGAGGTATCATCCAGGAGATTTTTGTTTTGTTTTTCCCACTTGCAGTCCCGTTGAAGTTCAAGAGAAATTGCAGGTTTTTGTCAGAGGTCTCCTCTTACCAAAGACACTTTGCCTGCAGCTCGATCCAGAGACATCAGTAGCAGCTTTGAAAAAGCGTGTGGAGCTGGAAAGTGGCATCCAGTCTCAGGATCAACGCCTTTACATCGGGAGAAACTTTCAGGTGCTAATTCTATAATCACCGTGAATTGGAAAAAAAACTAGTCACTTTTTCAAATTCATTTTATCTGAGCATATTATTTCTTCGAGTTGTTTTGAATTTGCCCTTTTTTTTTTTGAAGACAGATTGATTTTTATGGAGCAATTTTTCCCCCGGCACTTTCAAATTACGTTATCATATCCCAGGAGTTTTCAAAACAAAGTTTGTAAATTTTGTTGAAAAAATTCCGCAACACCGCCGGGCCTTCTTCTACAGTGTCCCTAAAAAGTGTCCGTCTGACCATTTTTGAAATAACTGCAAAACCACGAAGCATATTTTGAAAATGTTTATTTGTGCAGATACTCATTATCCTTGTAGTGGGGCTGTTCATGTGAAATATGTAATACAATTGTGCACTTTGAGAATAAAGCATGAAGCTTCGCATGTTGGTTTTTATGCCATGAATCTGTGTAAAATCCTGCATGTTGTGAACAAAAGGGTTTGTGTGGCTGGAGATTGGAATCATTTACCCTTAGCATTAAACTGAGGTCTTGTCATGATAACTAAAAGCCAGGAAAATGATTCCAATCCCAACCACAGCCCTTTTCACAACATGATGTGTTTACACAGTTTACATAACACAGCACTGAAATTGATTAAGGCAGTTAACTTGGTAACAGTGGGGCGTGATGAAAATTAGATGAAATTCATAGGGGGTACAGCCGCGGATCCAGGGGGGAGGGGGTGTCCACCCCCTAATCTGACACCAAAAAAAGTATATGTCCGCCTGTCCGCAACAATCAGACATAAAAAAGTCTGACGGACCGCCCCCCCCCCCACCGCCCAAAAAAATCCTGGATCCGCCCCTGGGTTTAGGCTCAGGATATGCAGTATCTGCACAATTACAATTTTTCTAAATTTACTTCGTGGTTTTGTTGTAATTTCAAAAATAGTAAGACTGCCACTTTTTAGGGACATACTGTTACTGTTCTGATTTGGAAATTTCCTTTCATTCAAATAAGTAGTGTGCAATGGTTTTATTTTTTTGTTTTAAATTCTGAATAATTCAAATATGAAATTGTATTGCTTTTTGCAGCTTTGTGACCTACTCTCAATTCGCGACCATGGGATACAACAAGACCAGAACATCACGCTTCGCGTTGGCGGCTTGCTGGGCGGTGGATCATTGGGTAACTATATCTCGATTGGGCATGAGGCTGCTTAAAAAAAAGGTACCTGGGTACCCGTTAAAGGCTTGGGCTTGTACCATATTTTCAATGGGGAGTGCTTAAAAATCCTACAATCATGCACACTATATTACTAAATAAAGTTGTTTACAAGTACTCGATTCCATAATCTGGAACCAGCTCTTGACATCAAACGGTCGGGTACTTGGGTACCTGGTTCCGATGCACAAGTCAAAAATCAGTTGCACTGTGTTACGGAGGGGTAAATTTGTCACCAATTTTTGCATCATCCCTTTGTAAACCTCAAATTACAATGAGCTACAAAAACCTGCCAACGGTGAACTTGGAAATGACGAAGTGTGCTTTATGTTATATTAACAAGATTTTGTATGAGAGTGCCCGACTACATTCACATGTGTATGAGCTGAAAGCGTCACAAATGTCTGATCAGTCAGTACGATGGGCTTCTGATCTTGTTTAACCTCACCCATGAGTTTAGCGCTTGGAGCCCCCATGCCTCGATGAGATGATTGATGCATAATGTTTATTTGCTTTTTCATTCAGATGAAGAGCAATCTAGACGCATTTGCTTCTCAGAATTGTCAGACGAACTTGGACGAGGCTGGAAGAGGCTCGCCAGACAATTGGGATTCAAGGAAGGACAACTGGACCAATTCGAAGAAAACTACAGAGGAGACTTACACGAACAAATCTACAAGATGTTAGATACCTGGTGGAAGAAGCAGGACAATCCCGCAGATGCTCCTGAGAAGCTGAGAGACGCTCTGCAAGCGGTGGGTCGTGCTGACTTAGCATCACAAGTACCAGGTATGAGAGCTAGCCAAAATGGTCAATGTACTCTTTGTTTGGTCAAGTTTAGCTTACTATACATCACTTTACTTTATGTGTTACTTTTGACGAAATTTAAAGTTTATTCTCCGGATAATCAAAGCTGTACATAACTTATTTTTTATAAATTTGGAGCTGCTGACAAACGATACAAAACACCCAATATTTAAATTTGTGAAAACTTGTTGACATCTCTTTGGGTACATTTTATGAAAGTGCACTTCTTTTAACCCTAAAGGGGCCGGGTTATTTTGACCATCTCTCAGCCGGGGGGGGGGGGGATTCCGCCCCCCACCCCCCCCCCCTCAAATCTCGGCCATCGAGTGACGAAACATTTTGAAACTCGGCACATGCATAGAGCAACTCTTCCTAAACATACCCAAGAAATTAAATGACTATAGGTCAAAGGGTTTTGGAATTATGGCTAATTAATTATTCATATGTACGAATGGCAATTCTGCTCTGTGTACACGACGTATATGCGAAAATTCATTTTTCACGGCGCGTAGCGCCGGAAATATTTTCGCTACGCGGCTACCCGTGGTCCGATTTTTATGTTTTTGGTATCAAAAGATGCACAAAGCTCGAGGCTAAAAAGTCATAACAGCTCGGGTCGCGAAAAATTTTTTTTAGAGGCTATCACGGAAAATGTTGAGGGGGGGAGGGCGGATTCCGCCCCCCCCCCGGCCCCTTTAGGGTTAATATTTAGCCATTATTTTCCCGACAACCGAGGTCGTTGTTCATGTGATGTCAATTTAGGAAGACACTGTTCAGTACAGGCTTTGTTCTGTTTAAGTTGAGAATCTATACGAATAATGTAACTGGTCATGTCAAATAATTTTGAAAAAACAAATTACTCATTGGCTTATCGTCATTTTACAGAATCAACAACGAATCGCCAAAGAAAGCAAAACAAAAGGAAAATGTACAACGTAAATAGCTGTTACATTGATGTTTCTACATGAAATGACATCAAACCTTTGCTCAAGAATAAGAAAATTGAATTTTTGAATAATCAACAAAACAAGAAGGCACCAAAATGACCCTTAAAATAGCCAAATGTAAATTCAAGTAAGGTTAAATGGCACACACAGGAGCCCTTTTTAAAACACATTACATGGGCCATTTGCTGATACACCATCAGCAGAAGATTAAAATGCACTAAAGGTTACAAATTATGCCAACCTTCAGCAATATTTCACCTTGTGGATTTGCTTACGGTTGCATGCATTAAAGCATTTTTACTCTGAATTTAGCATGCTCTTCGCTGTGCTTACTGCTTACAATCTCTGTGAAAATGATAAAGACTGTATTGTATGTCTTTAGCATGTCTTTAGCAGTTTTAAACTTACAGATCGACGTAGTTTTAAACTTACAGATCGACGTTTTTATATATATGCTAATAATTTACTTGATTGTTCCCCAAAATGACTTCTTTTACACAGGCATGGCAGGAACCTCTTTTGATATTGAACAGTGTGCAAGAGAACTGGCAGCACATTACCTAGAGACGATGAAAGTGACGACACATCCTACAGAGAAGCACATGGCCAGAGAGATGGATGACATGTACGTCAATCTACAGCTACTAGAAGAGACGAACATACCATCTCCTGTCTCCTCATCAGAGACAGAGATGCAGGCAGAAACAGACAGCCAATCGGAGCATCTGAAAGCATCCAAAAGAGCTAGAGGTATCCCTGATCTTCGAAAATCACAACCTAATAAAGACAAAGGGCTTCATGTTCAAAAAAGTTCCCTTGACTCATATAAAGACATGCTTGTGCTCAAATCAAATCGATTATTAATCAGAGCTGAGGCGGGTTACGGGAAAACCACACTCCTTAAAAGGATTGCATACGATTGGGCGGATATGAAAACCAAGGGGGATCAAACTGAAAACCAACAACAATCTGAGCCTACATCAGTTTTGGAAAGATACGAGCTTGTCTTTGTGATAGATGTCAATCGAATGGGTAAGAAATTCGACATCATCGACGCCATATTCTCTCAGATACTCACAGACAGCAAACTGAAAAAGAGAGACTTAGAACAATACATCTATGATAATCCAGAGCGCGTGTTAATTCTTTTAGATGGCGCTGATGAGATTTCTTTACAAAGAGTAAAGGACGCACAGTGCAAGAACGGAATTGACTTGAACAGTGTTCTATCGTTCAAATCACTGAAGTCGTGCAAGGTAATAGTTACGAGCCGACAGAAGACGGCAAATGAACTGCTGACTATGCATGCACACTACACAAAAATTAACATGGTTGGCTTTGACGAGAAAGGCAGGCAAAAGTACGTGAGGAAATACTTTGCAAATTTTCAATCAGATAATCAAAATAGCTTCCTTGAAAAGGTGAATGGATCTGAAACGCTTCGTAGTTTAGCGGAGATACCGTTATTTCTGTGGCTGATGTGCCACACATGGGCAGCTGAAGGGAAACTTCCTGATCAAATAACAAACCTGTTTGGGGATAACATTCAGCTGCTTTTCCAGCATAAGGAAAGTAAGGAAACAGACGAGCAAGTTTCTGACACTGAGACACATGTTTCCAAACTTGGTCGAATAGCTCTTGAAGGTTTGTTAGATCCAAATGGGGAAAAACTTCATTTCGAGGAAGATCAGATAGATTCAAAAGATCTAGATATGTTTGAGAAGGGATGTGATGTTGGCTTGTTGTCAAAACGAAAAATTTGTCAAGGTCTCAAGACGGTTTCTCAATTTTCGTTCATTCACAAGACTTTCCAAGAATACAGCGCAGCGGTTTATCTTGTTGATTTGTCAAGAACTGACAGACAAGACTTTGACCAATACTTGCCTCGCATATTTCATGGCAATGTGGAAAGCGTGGAATACGTTCTGCGATTCTGCTGTGGGCTGAACAGAAATGCCGCCGAGGTGATTTTGCAGCGCATTGGAGATCTCTTGAAGCAAAATGAACTGAACAAGTCCCTGCATAGAATCTCGATGTTGCTCCTGTTTGAAGCTCAATCAGAATCCCTTGTGAAATACTTTGTTGAGACTGCGAAGGTTCAGTTTCCCTATGAACTCCAAGGTGAAGTTCTCGTGGCTGCGCATTATTTCTTTCAAATAGGGTCCAAACATACAACTCTACACAAGGTAGGCATACAAGAAATTTGTGCTAAATGTCGAGGTTTTGCTGACTTTAGACTGTTAGAGGATATCATGACACACATACAATGTAAGCCATTGCTTAAACTTGTACTTCATGGCATCAGCTGGGGTAGCTTTGTGGATAACTCCACGGGGATATTGACATATCTTAAGTCTTTAGAAGTACATAACTGTGAATGGAACCTTGTACAACTTTTCGAAGTGTTATCAAAAACCAACACGCAAGCAGTTGTATTGAATGACATCAATTTGCATGAGACACTGTCTGAACAAAACATTAAATCAGTTCCATCTCTGAAAGAATGCTGCCTTTTCGATTGTGGTCTGACAAACAGCGATGTCAAGCCACTTTTCTCTCTTCTTTCATCAGCTGGCAGCATAAAGACAGTTGTTCTGAGGGGAAATAATTTGCACGGTTTGCAGCCTGTCACGATCGCTAGTGTCCCTTCCCTTGAATATTGTGAGCTGTGTAAAAGTGGTCTTACACACAGTGATATTGAGCCACTTTTCTCTCTTCTTTCATCAGCAGGCAGCATAAAGACAGTAGTTCTGAGAGGAAATAATTTGCACGGTTTGCAACCTGTCACGATCGCTGGTGTCCCTTCCCTTGAATATTTTGAGTTGTGTAAAAGTGGTCTTACAAACAGTGATATTGAGCCACTTTTCTCTCTTCTTTCATCAGCAAGCAGCATAAAGAGAGTAATTCTGAGAGGAAACGATTTGCACGGTTTACAGTCTGTTACTAGCGTTAGTGTCCCTTCCCTTGAAAACATTGGGCTTTATGAAAGTGGTCTAACAAACAGTGATATTGAGCCACTTTTCTTTCTTCTTTCATCAGCAGGCAGCATAAAGAGAGTTGTTCTGGAAGGAAACAATTTGCACGGTTTGCAGCCTGTCACGATCGCTAGTGTTCCCTCCCTTGAAGAATTGTACCTGCTTGGAAGTGGTCTGACAAACAGTGATATTGAGCCACTTTTCTCTCTTCTTTCATCAGCAGGCAGCATAAAGAGAGTTATTCTGAGAGGAAACGATTTGCACGATTTACAGCCTGCTACGATTGCTAGTGTTCCTTTCCTTGAAGAATTGGCACTACTTGAAAATGGTCTGACAAACAGTGATATTGGGCCAATTGTGTCTCTCATTTCATCAGCAGGTAGCATTAAGACACTTGTTCTGAACGGAAACAATTTTCACGGTCTGTCACAATTCAAAATCGATCCTCTCCCCTCCCTTTGTATACTGGATTTATCTGGATGTCGCCTGGAAAACAGCGATATCGGGGCTATCATCCATTTGCTGTTTTCCCTTGGTCATGTGGCTGTCGTCCGTTTAAGCGGCAACAATTTGCATGATAAGGTGGCGGAGGAATTGGCTGCCGTTCCTTCGTTGCAAACGTTCACTCTCAGTACTGAGTGGTTACCGATATCAAACATTCGAAAAGGGTTGTAAAAAGACAAAAAAGAAGACTTGTATGATAATGTAATCCGCAGCTGGCTGATTGTTCATCATTTTTCCCCACATATGAGATCAGCCAACGTCTTTTTGATGGCAATAGTTGTCCGAAGTTGTTCAACTAGCACCAATGCCAGATACATTTCAACTGTCTCTTAAGCAGGACAGCAAATCTAAGTTTGGCTCAAGGGAAGTGAGGATGGGTGTTTAAAGCAGGCATGTGATGTGTTTCCCGATTTTCCTTTCGGTGCTGACCACAAGACGGTGTTGGTTTAAACCCTCTACACCCTCAGTTAGGTATTGATGTTACTGACTCCAGAATTGCTATTTTTGTTTTGCTTGTAATTACAAACTTGCTCCAAGGTTCAATAATTTACAAGATCCATTTCACTGTAACATAAATAATAATAAATACATTTTAAAATGGCAATCCATTTCAATAAGTTCAAACCTCTGATACACCCACCCATACACCCACACACCAACCAACATAAGCAGCTCAAGCCCACGGCGTGTTTCACACCGTGGGAAAAACAGCAACAAACAGAAAATCAATAGAATGTGGGCTTCATGCTGTGATAAAATATTAACAAAGAAAGGCAAAGTTAAAGAAAATGAGCACTGGTTGAGTCACGTGTGTGAGATGTCTAACTTATCATGTATGTGCCACAAATGCAACAAGAGAGAAATGAAACAGAAACTAGGGGGGAAATGTTATCCAGTTTACATAAGAATTAGAATTAGCAAGGGGTCTGCAATAGAAAGCAGCAAGTCGTTAGTTCGAATCCCACTCGAGCAGCTTGTGTTTTTTTTCTCGCAGTCTTAGACTGCATCGAGTATGCAGCACCTATAACATTACATCAGTGAAAGGGAAATCTAGAATTGAAACTGAAGGAAAACTTTTGATCTGTGTCACACAATACACAAGCCGAGTATATACCCCTTGCAGCTGACGTCACATCTGAGGCCTGGTCTGTGGGGGAGAGGAGTTGCAATTGGAGCATAGAGGGGCAAACAGGGATTGAACCGATAGACCAACATTTGAAATAGTAGGTAACGGACATTCAGCTAAATGAATGATACAGGTTGTATAGGGGATTTTTCAACTATGGAAAAATGCACATGGGTCAATCGTGGGGGGGGGGGCGTAACCATTGTCACGCCAAATACCCCTCCTTCCAAGCGCGGATCCAGGGGGGGGGGCAACGGGGGCCATGCCCCCCCCCCCCAAAAGAACCCATTTTTAAAATATTTTTTTATGTGACGCCGCAATTAAGGCAGGCAAGTAAGTAATAACGCCCTCTTTCAGAATCCCATCTCCACCAAAAGGATATTACCGCCCTATCTGCATTTAGACCGAGCTGAATCATTTTTTTTGTCTGAATAAGTGAACGGGTTTTTTTCTTAGTGTTTCCACCTCTCCCCTCCTTCCGTCCAACGTAACCACCAGCCAACGAACCCGATTTTGTTTTGGCGCTTCAAAGGCTTTTTTTTTTTTTTATTAATGACCATTTTACGAAAATCGCCCTCTTGTGGTATACGGTGGCGCTCATCGCAAGTTATCAGATGTTGATGCTTCATTGTCAACCATCAAAGTCTTCAAAAACAGAGCCATGGGTTTTATAGCTAATGAGCACTCCGATCTCCCCGTGGCTATTACATGGATTCTACCGTATCTATTGCCACGTAATTGATCAAGATACAAAAAGCTGGAGTCGTTACAAAATTCCGGCATGTTTTCAAAAGCCTGGCGACTAGTTATTGGTCAAGGTAAAATCATGACAGCGAAAATCGCAACTAGATCTTAACATTTAATCTCACGTTGAATGCACAAGTCATTATCAAAAATTACTCGGCAAATGTAGAAGACTGACACTTCATTGTCTTGTTTCAAGACTGGATTTGTAGATTCTTCCAATGAGCTAGTCCCTGGCAAGTGAGGCCAAACCGCTCAAGCGGTAGAGGGCGCTATATCAGCACGATGAATCAAATCCTGTCCGATCAGAAACAAAATGGCAACGCCATAATTTTACACAACTAGCATTGTGGTATCATGATCAGTGACGTGAATCTGTGCCAGAGAGTGGGGTGGGGGGGGGTTCCAAAATCCAAAAATTCCATGCCAGGGAAATTCGAAAGGGGAAGGGGCATTGCTACACATTGTTCATTACACTAGGGGCCCAGGCGCTGTAAATAATACAAATGTACATCTTATATATAACCTTATATCAAAAAGGTGCATACTCGATGTACATTTGTCTCGATTTTTCAGTGCTATTGAATATATTTTGGTTGTTGGAAAGTTCGGGAAAATGCCTCAAAATCCACTGCTTTTTTGTATCTCACAACGCAAAAGTTATTCTGAGTATCACCCGTGGTCCGACGGAGACTTCCCTGTCTCCGGTCCAAACTGATGCGACCTGGCCCGCCTACCAGCCAATCAATATTGAGTAAGGATTTTTTTTTATTATAAGCATGTTAATTGATGTCACCCCGCCTACCAACCAATCAGTATCGACTAAGGAAACTGCATTATCCACACCTGTTAACATTAAGAATAGCCAGCCGTCGGCAATAGAAGGCAGGAAGTCGTTGGTTCGAATCCCACTCGAGCAGCTTGTATTTTTATAACATCACATTTTTATAATATTTTTATAACTGTATCTATAACATGAAAGGGGCACTAGGTCCTGAAATCCCAGAAAATGTAATGATTTGTATTGTTTAATTATTCTATTTCAAACATCTGATTGAAAGGAAACCAACCTAAAAAAAACCCGGTTGTTTACATCGGACACGACGGAGTGTGAATACATTTTTCCTGTCGTTCTCTGATGTTTGTACGACATACACGTTTGTCTCGGGAAACAGCGGTGACCAATAACCAATGCACACAATATATTTTGTTCGACGTCAAAAGGCGAACACTTTACGAATAAAATCACAACTAGCACCCAAACAGCTCGCCTCTTGGAGTCGCAAAAGTGGACGTTTAAAACAGCTTTCTTGCAATGTTACTTTGACTTTCCACCTCTTTTGTAGCAGTAAAAGGGAGAAATTTCAACGTTTTAGTTGTTATGCTTATGAAAATTTCTATATTCGTGAGCCAAAGGGTGATGTCTTTCAGGGAAGAACAGTAGTGTCTCCATAGCTTTTGGTACAAATATATATCAAGCTTTTCTTAATTTTCTTGGAGTAAGTTCCACTTTTTACTTGTTATCATGTTAAACAGCTTGTTTGGACATTACTAGTGTCCAATATTTCTTTAAAACTTTTCGTGTGGGTAATTTTGAAGGAGTATTTTTTGTACTGTTCATGTGCACTTTTGACAAGGAGTATCTTGTGTGACATAAGCAAAATAGCGCTCTCTTACATGTATTGATGAAAGGATTTGCTTATAATTGAAAAATTACCACTTTCTTGTCACTTCCAATGAAAACAAGTATTAGGATCTGGTATGTAATATGCATGAAAACAAGATAAGCTGAATTTCCACTGCATTTTTCCTTTAAACCAGTGAAGGGGAAAACCCAAATAAAAATGAAGGGAACAAAAATTGATCTGTGTCACACAGCACGCAAGCCGATTATACCCGCCTTGCAGCTGACGTCACATCTGAGGGCATGTCCTTTTTCTCTGTAATACGCATGATTTCAAAAGTGTTTGATTGCAAAGATGTGTGGAAAAGGTTTTTAAATCTAAAGTAGAAAATACTGCTTTGTGGAAAATGGATTTCATACTTTGGCACCTGCATGTTTAGAACAGAGAAAGATCTGTCGGATTGCCGGATTTGCCCAAAGACATTGAATGACGCTCATTTGCAATTCAACCGTTGTTGTTAATATTTACGACTTTTAAGTTTTTCTGGACAAACTAGTCTTGTCAAAGTGCATATCTGAAGTTGAGTGTTCAAAAATATGTATGCCATAGTGAGTGAAGAGCACTGATACGTCACTTATATGGAGTAGATAACTGTAATTTATATTGAACTGAAGCAAAGTTTTGTATCTGACAATTACTTCTACGCAAACATTTATGGATGTACAAATGTAACTTGGAATTGTTGAAAGTATATCTCTTTGTACAGATGCATTGCACACAGCCTTCCATTCACTCGATTATGGCTCACTGCAATTTCTATAACAGTTTGTTATTCAGCGGAGTGATGAATTGAGTAATGGACATACACGGGAAAGAGTATGTACAGCCAAAATAGGCCACACGTTTATAGTGTTACGGTAGGAAAACAATAGGTCGAATTATAGAAGGGGTTATCGTCGTATTTATTTTGCATTTTTTTCGTTTCCTACATTACCTTAAAGTTTGAGTGACGATAGCATAAATTATCGGGGTATTATGTGTCACATGTTTTTGTTTTGTTTTGTTTTAAAGCTGGATAACTAACTACGATACAAAAGTTTGTCAAACAACTGCTGCTAGCTTATTGAATTTATAAAGTGGAAGGAAAGCGCAGTTGCATATATTTTATTATATAATCTGCGCTTTGCAAATACATTTTATTATTATTATTATTATCAAAGTTCCACTAAACAGTTGAAACATACGGTAGTTGATTTTTTCAATTATTAAAGATGTGTTGAATGTAAGGATTTGTTTTTTCAAAGAAACAAGCATGATATACGAGTAGCCAAATTTATAGCTTTGCGGTCAAAGGCAGTTACATTTTGCATCAACCAAACTACAAGGTTTATGTTGATACTTTGTGATTATGATACAATCCATCATAACTGCAGTTTCATTGGTGAATTTCTGAATAAAACGGTTGACGCAGATAATCTTGTTACCTTTCGATTTTTATTTAATCTCAATTAGATTTCTGCTTGGGAAAAAAAAAATTATTTAGTATGTGCGAATGTTATATTTCCGCATACCAATCCTCGTCCGCATCACTGCCCTTCCCAAGTTGTTTGAAAGGCATATGACGTCACAATGGAAAATATAACCTACGGTGCAACTGGGATACCTAACATTATTTACGGCTATTTCATGTTTGTCACTAAAAACGATACCCCAACCTCTGGATCGTGAATGGCCAGGCTTCAACTGAACATTATGGGCTAAGTTTTGCCATTTATTCTACTCCATTGCTGCTTGTGCAGCAATGCAGAGGCGGATCCAAGAGTTTCCAAAGGGGATGGCTGGGTTTTGATGCGCAAGAATTTCCATGGAGGGGGGGGGGGTGCAATCGCTGCATTAAGGGGAAAAGAGGGATTAAGACAATTGACCCAAACTTGCAATTTCCACTACTCGAGATGTTTAGGTCCTGTCACAGAGAGAGCAATGCATGTATGCTAGATCGACGTCGTGTAAAGATAGGCAGTATAGTGCCCCTTGGGCCAATCTGGAAAAGTCTCTCGTCGACATATTAATTTTACGCTCACGGGTCACATGCACTCTTCCCTTTCATTAGTGAGTTTAGTCGGGGGAGGTATTCTGTTGCAAATAAATATCTGGCTATGAAATGGAAATAAAGGGTTTTAGTTTCTTTCATTCTAGTTGATTTCAATCCAATGCAGCGTCACATACAACGGTAAAATACTCTGCCTGACTTACGGCCTCATTAGGCCGGCTCCGCCCACTATACGCTGCCCGCGTGAGCAACAACACGTGATGCCTCACAAAAGCGTGAACACTCTCAAACTGTACCCATTTGCTTCGATCCAGTAAGCCCCGCCCCGTAATGCTTTGATGCTTTGACAGCTTTGATAAGTGTCGGCCAAAAGTCACGCATGCGGTTGGAACACGGGATACACGTTACACAGTAATGTCTACGACGAAGTAAAGTGCCCCACTGCAAGTCTCCAAAAACCGTGCCTTTGCAACTTGTGGTCCGATTCCAAGCCCTTATTAGGGAAACGTGCTATTGATAGTCAAATTATTTTTAAAAATGTTGTAAGGCGGCAGCGAATGAAATCGCTCCACTGAGCGCGTCGGGCGCTGGCTTCTGGGTCTTTGCGAGAAATATCGCGCCACACGTTGCATTACATTATAAGAGCTCCTAAACCCATTTGCGAGTCATATTGGTGATTCTCCCCGACGACAGCTTGCCTTGAATAGGCATCTACATGGGATCCGCCAACCCCACCGGTGATTCTAAATTCCAAT